GGCGTTTTCCAGATGTTGACTGTGCTAAATTAGCATTACACATCAGCTCACTTGTTTTCTAGGAGAGGAAAGGCAGGGAACGCTGCATCTGGACCTTGGCCAAACCGCTGGGATGGAGCCACACCGACAGTTGTCAGGTGGGGGCTGGTTCAAGAAAGCTAAGACGGGTATTAACAGGTTATTAATATTTTAGAAGATCTGTCGGGCTGGAGGGCAAAATCCTTGAGGATCCATATGAGGATTGATCTTCCATATTTTCACTAGCGAGTCAGCATAGGAAGGAAGGGTGCCTTGGTGCCATTTGCTAATGAGACAAAATCAGGAAGGTTTTGAAAAACAGAAGAGTAAAGAAACTGGGCTACCTTGAAGGCAGGAGGGGTGAAGACAGGATGAAATGCAGGGATATGCGATGAGGGGTTGCCAGCAGGAATTGCTGCAGCAGGCAGGGAGCTCCTTGGCCGGCAGGGACCGGGGAAAGGCCTGAGCCATTGCTCCAGCATGAAAAAGGCAGATCTGACATGAACATCTACAGGGCAAATTGGTTCAGCAAAAATATTCATGAAGGACAATGGCAAGGCAGTGGTGGGCCACAGCTGGACTCTGGGAGACATTTTCAGCCACAGCGCGAGAGATGTGTTTTAATGGGAAGGAGGCAGAGAGGGCTGTAGGAGCACAGGGACATGGCCGCGGCTGCTGCAACGTGCTGGACAGAAGCAGATGTTTCCCACAAATACCCCGGGGGCACCAGAAGGAAAAGGACTCTCGTCTCAACAGCTGGGTTGTAGCCCAGACCTATGGAGGGGCTAACTCAGGGGACTGATCCCAAAGATCCCTTTTTTCCTTTTTCTCCTCATCTTCTTTCCTCCCCTCCCCACATAGATATTCTTGATAATGAATGGCTTTTGTCTTTGTTAGCTCAGGAACAGTTTTGAATGGTGGCACTGACTTTTCTGTCCTCCCGCCGCTGCTACATCACTACTCCTAGCAAAGCACAGGAGCTGTCTTGCAAAGCCCAACCCTTTCACTACCTTGAGATGCCTTTAAGACCAATACTATTTGCTCTTTGCACTGACAAACCATCTGTTTGTGTAACATCTGGAGGCAAAGCGGTGCTTGAGCTAACACGTACCAGCTAAGTGCCTCAAAGTTTCGCTTGGGCATACTAAACCATGCCCTCGGCACGGCATCCAGGCAGGCTCCGCTGTGCTGTGTCACCCAACTCCTGCACCTGCAAACCACCTCCCACAGACACAAATTGGGTGTGTTAGTGGCAGAGCAGAGCCCTAAATTGCATGCAGGCGGGGGGCTGTTCCCTGTAGGCTTTGCAGTCCCCCAAGCCTCTGCATTTCAATTGCCTTTTCATGTCCATCTTTGCTGGGGTCGGTGCTTTTAAGCACCTGCCTGAGAGGGAGTTTGGGTGGCACGTGAGCTAAACCTTGCTCCACACATGAAAAAGGAGAGATTTATCAGCTGGTGCCTGGCAGCGTGGTGCGGAGCAGCTGGGGCCGCCTCAAATTCGTCTCCCAGCATGATGGGTATGAATTGAGTGCTACAGTTTCCCTCCCAATTAAACTCTGCTCAGCCACTAACTACATCAGTAAATAACAAGCACCCACCATTTAGGCAGTCCCAACTGGCAGAGACCCACCATGACCCTGCTGCCATCAAGGCTTGGGGAGGGAGAAACGTAAGGGCACTTGTAAAACCCCTCAGAGGGATGAGTATTATTTTCCCACCGTGCCCCACCCAGGCACCCAGCTAAGGGCAGAAAAACCATCACACCTAGACCTCTTCACCAGGGCTCCTCAAAAATGTCTTGCAAGGGGGTGGTGGAGGATGGACAGAGAGAGCCCAAGGCCAGCACCCGGGAGAGATTCATCCTGCAACTGCACTCCAGCATGAAGCTTGCAATGCTCCCAGTTCAGGGAGAGTCAGGTGATGGGAAGCCGGAGAAGCCATACCTCCACCCTGCAGAGCACCAGGTACCTCCCACCACAGACACTCCTCCAGGCTCTCCTGATGCCCACCTGCCCCCAGGAGCAGCTGGCAGCCACCCACCATGCTGTGCCATGCCAATGGATGCCCTGGCCACTGCCCTGCTGCCAGGCACAGTCTGTCTCAGCCTCAGGGCCACCCACATGGGGCCTGTGTTAGCACCCACGGTCAGAAAACCCACCCTCCCTGCTCCTTCCCTCGGCTCAGCCGACAAAGGGCACACTTCAGGGGTCTCGTGTCCACCTTCACAGCCTCTGCTGCAGCCACCGCTGCCACCAAAAACAACTATCTCCAGCCTCCGGCAGTTTGGAGACACGGGTAATCATTCTGGAGTAATTACCAGCTTACTCCTTTGGAGGAGTTTGCTGGTGAGAAGTCACTGGCAGCTAATTACTCCAATTACTTCCTGACACACAGAGCCCAGGTGCCCAGGGCTCTCTGCAGCAGCACACAGTGCTGCTCGGCAGCTCCCAGCTCCCCACATGCCTCCCTCCCTGGGGCACCCGCTGCCCTGGATCCCCTCCTCTGGGACCACAAAGGGTACACTGGGGTGGATGGGTGGTGGTGAGAACCCACCGGCACCAAGGACATGCAGCTAAATGGTATCTGAAGAGATGCCCCACTAGCTCAGCACTGCTCCACCACACAGTTTAGGCCCAAGGATGCCACAGGATGACCTTGAGCCCCCCTTTCTCAAGCAGGTTGATGCCTAGGAAAGCTCAGCAGGGCTTTGTAGCACAGGTCCCCCTCTGCCTAAGAGGCTGGTGGTCAGTGAAGCCAGACTGCATCTGGAGCAGTAGGGATTGAGAGGTCCCAGACATATTGAAGAAAGAAAAATAAGTTATTTGCAAGCAAGGCTGGGAGGGGGAGCGTGTTATTGTATCTCAACTCCTAACAAGGTCACTAAAGTTCCCTATCCCCCTGCAAAGGCCTGAGGGTAAAAAGACAAGACTCAGCCCTGCTGTTAGATCTAGACTCAGGGACTGATCTTATAGGTGCAGGGCTCAAGAGGCTCTCCCCTCACATTTGTAGGGTGCTCCGACTCCCAGCAGCTTTGCGGGAAATAAGAGCAGGTACTGCAGTTGTCACCACCCTCCTCAGTGGTAGCAGCCAGCCCCAGACCCTCTACAGCTCAGCCCTGCTGGCAGACACCACAGGGGAGCTCACACACTAAGGAGACAAGGCTTTTTGGAAACCCCCAGCAGAGCCTGGGCAGGCAGGGACCCCCACAGCCCTACGCTCCAAGGGTTGGGGCTGGTTTCAGCCTCCCAGAACAGCACCACCACTTCAGGGCAGGACCACCTGCTGACATCTCAGACATTGCCACCATCTCCCTGCTGTCACACAGAACTGTGCCCACTGCATCGTCCCCAGCCTTGCATCTGATCTGGGAGGCAAGTCCTGGCCTCTTGCCAGGGACAGCACAGCCCCTGCCAGGCCTCCAGAGCACCACCAAACACATGGTCCCCCCAGGTCCCAGGAAGCAGAAGAGGACCTTCACAGGAGCAAGGATTGAGGTGTGCGCAGGCTCTCCCCGCCCACAAGCCAGTTTTAGAAAGCAGGGGGGGAAGCCTTGCCCAGAAATCACACAAGCAAGAGTAAGAAACCACACAGGACTAGGAGTGGAAGAGTCTTTATTGCTTTGGTTTCTTACAAGTGAGATATATGCATCTAGGCTTGCTGCAAGGAGACACCCACGTTGCGTTCAGCTTGCAGCACGGCACAGGGGACACAGGGACACTGGGCACACAAGGTTCGGTCTCTCTGCCTTTTCCCAGGCACCAGGGAAGAGAGACCCTAAGAAAGTAAGGCAGCTGCCAGCTGTGAGAGAGTAAAGGATTGTGTGGAAAGTTATTGCTACAAGACCAGAAAGGTCAGGGACAGCTTCTCCAGAGCCTGCAAAGTATACCAGCTCCCAGTTTAGCATTCCCAGCACACAGACTACAGTGGGGACACAAACAAGTCCCCTCCTCTACCAGCCTCTGCTCCCCTTAGGGAAGATCAGGGCAGCCAGGGGCAAGTATTTAAAGCCAGAAAGCCAAGGTGGCATCAGTGCTGACCCCAAGTGAAGCTTTTATTCTCCTTAGCTGGGAAGAACCCAGATCAAAGATGCTCCTCCTGTAAAGCTGAGCACCCCCCAAGCCCCTCCTCACCCGCAGCTGAGCCAGTGCTGCTCTCCTCGCCAAGGGGATGCTGGGCACCTCCACCTTGTCCTGCACATCCACATTACTCATTCAAGCAAGTGCCTGGGGCAGAGAGACCGTCACATCCTCCTTCTCAAGAGGCCCGGCAGCATCCTGTGACACCGGCACAGTAGTGCCTCCCTTGCTCACCCTCCAAGCACAAAGAGGGGACAACCCCCCGGCCCCTCCTTTGGGGCAGCTCAGTGCCTTCTCCTTCCACTCCTCCCACCTCCGGGAATGGGCATTGCAAGGACGCTCCCATACCTGATTGAACCACACAGAAAAGAAAGCCAGAGACTAGGAACAAAACAAAACCAAACCAAACCAAACCAAACCAAACCAAACCAAACCAAACCAAACCAAACCAAACCAAACCAAACCAAACCAAACCAAACCAAACCAAACCAAACCAAACCAAACCAAACCAAACCAAACCAAACCAAACCAAACCAAACCAAACCAAACCAAACCAAACCAAACCAAACCAAACCAAACCAAACCAAACCAAACCAAACCAAACCAAACCAAACCAAACCAAACCAAACCAAACCAAACCAAACCAAACCAAACCAAACCAAACCAAACCAAACCAAACCAAACCAAACCAAACCAAACCAAACCAAACCAAACCAAACCAAACCAAACCAAACCAAACCAAACCAAACCAAACCAAACCAAACCAAACCAAACCAAACCAAACCAAACCAAACCAAACCAAACCAGAACAAAAGTTAGAGCGGGGCCCCAGCCCAGGCACCCCACCAGAGAGCCAAAGGGCACGTCAGCGGAGGAGCTGTGGCCAAGCCAGCTGGCAACAAGCACTCAGGCATCCACAAGCGTCAGCCCATCATGCAGGGCACGCTTCCACATGTAATAGGTGGAACGGGCCGTGAGCGGGAAGCGGGCACTGAACTCCTTGTAGGTGGGGAAGGTCTTCGACTCGAAGCGCTGCTGCAGGAACAGCTTGGCCTGTGCCTTGAACTGGGCAGTGGCGATTACATCCATCACAAACATCCGGCTGTTGGCTCTCTCCGACATGGCATAGCCCGAAATGGTGGTGTTGTATGGCGTGGCTGGCACTGGCTTATCTAGGTGCTTGGTGGCTACCTCCATGTGGCACTGGGGCTTGAGGCCTGGCTCCGCTCTCAGAGGTGCCAGGGAAGCCACCCGGCTCAATGGCCGGCTGGAGCCGGTCCAGGGCAGGCGATGCTGCCCAAGGGCCCGGCCACTGCCCTTCCAAAACCAGTAGGCTGTGGATGAGAGAGATGGGTAGCGCAGGCGGTACTTGCAGAACGGCAGCCGCCATTGCTGGACCTGCCTCCTGGCCAAATCTCGCAGGCGTTCCTTCCGAACCGCCAGCCGCCATTGCTGGACCTGCCTCCTGGCCACATCTCGCAGCTGCTTTCTCCAGCACAAAGAGGGTTTGAGCTGCAGGAGACTCCTGGGTGCTGGCCGGTCTCCGTTCAGCCTCTTCCTAACAGGCACGCTGCTTGGCTTCAACTGCAGGAATGGCTTTCCTATCGCTAGAGGTTTCTGGTTAACCAAGGGAGACTGGGGGGGTTTGAAGTTGGGGTTCTCCTTGATTGCTTTTCTTCGCCAGTTGTAGTAAGTGGACCTGGAGATGCCAGGGAAGCTGCGCTTGAAGCACCTGTAAGGCACCAGAGTGTTCATAGAAATGCATTTCTCCAGGTAGGATTTGGCTCCTTGCATGAAGATTCCTGCTTGGATGGGGTCTAGAGAAGGACTTGGGGATCTTAAGCTCCCCCCTGAATTTGCTGCCTCATCCACATCAGCCTTTTTTGGGACATCCCTGTGAAGCTCCTGCAACCCGTGGGCCTCAGCCAGAGCAGAGGCATCACCATTGACCATGCTCTGCATCTCATGCTTCCAGGCGTAGTATGTGGATCGGGAAATTTCTGGAAACATTTGTCGGAAGTGCTGGAGGGGGATTATATTGCCCTCCTGAAAGCAGGACTGGAGGAAGTGTTTAGCTGCAAACCTGGCAGCTGCTTTCTGCCGGTGTTCACGAGACTGGCGCTTCCAGCGGTAGAAGGTGCTCTTGGTAATGCTGTACCGGTCACGCAGGTTGGAGTAGGTCAGCTGGGGGTCACTGTTCAGCAGCTCAAGGGTCTTCATGGGCTGGACAGGAGGCTCTGGCGAAGGCATTGTGGGCTCTAGCTCCTCCAGGCCAACCACGGCCACAAAGTACTGCGCTTTGAAGACCTGCCGGGAGAGCTGCTGCCCTGACCACATGATGTGGAGTGTGGAGGTTCGCGGGCCACACTTCCTGGGCCGGATGAGCCGGTTGAAATAGGGCCGGATCTTCAAGTTGCTCATGGGGTAGATGGAGTAGATGTTACACTGCAGTACTGAGGCAAGAGCATAGACGTGCCACATGTTGGCAAAGGTGCCAGGAAAACAGGTAGCTTTGATATCAGCATCGAAGATGGCCTCCAGGATAGCCATGGGGAGGCTGGTCATCTCTGGGGTCTCCTCAGTGCAGAGGGAGTAGCGGACAGCCTGCAGCATCACCTTGGAGTCGATCATGCCATTCAAGTAGTATTGCTTGTGCAGCAGCATCTCCACCACCGTACGCACCTGCAGCTCCAGACTGAGACTGGGGTTGCCCCAGAGCAGCACGCTGGCAGCCTCAAAGAGGCGGTTCCCCTCACCTTTGCAAACCAGAGGCAGCATGTTACTTGGGGCATCCTCAGGATAGAGGCTCCTGGCTACCCGGTCAACCTCCAGCTCCTCTTGGAACTGCCTCCCACAATAGCCAGGCAGGGAGAAAGATGACAGGGTCCTCTCTGCCTCCAGCGCAGCACTGGTGAGGCCCTCCAGACCAAAGCATTCAGTGGCTTCCTGCAGCTCCTGCAGCACAGACTGCACCAGCTGGTGCCGCTGGATCATCCTGAAGGATGGCAAAAAGAAAGAAGTTACCAGAGATGACGGCAGCGCATGCTCCAGACTGCCAGGGGCTTGCCTCCAGGTCCAGCTCTTCTCAAAGGACAAGACAAGGGAAGAGGCTAGAGGAAAGGCCACTGCTAACCCTCCACCCACACTCCCAAGGACAAAGAAGGAAGCCTGGGTCCCCACAGGCAGACCTGGGACAGGGACATGGGCTCAGCTTGCTCTCCAGTGACCTCCTGTGGACAGCACACATGGCACACAACCTCCAGAGAAACTCGTCTAGGTGAAACTAAGGGGTGACTGCATCCAGCGGGGTGGGAAGCTAGGTCACCTCCTACTCCTGTACACCTGGCTTTGCACCCAGCCTCACCCTTACACCCATCTCTCCCACCAGTAGCTCCATCCCTTTCATTTTACCACCCTGCTACCAGCACCCAGAGAGAAGAAAGCCTCAAGGGGGAAACATTTGTCATCTCTGCAGGAAGTGACCTGTAACACAGCAACACTGCGTGGAGGTATGGAGGGACCTGGCTCAAGGTGTTCAAGCCCAACAGAAGAAGGGGCAGGGAGCTTGCCCCCTCTCTCAGAGCAGAGCATTGCAGCCGCAACCCGTTGCATGCATTGAAAACTGCTGTCACAGAACCTGGGATGGGAGGAACAGCCAGAGCCAGCCCAAGCCACATTACTGCTGCCTGAGCTGACACTAGATGTCACTTGCTGCTCAGCAGACACATACCACCAGCCAGGGAGAAGCTGCAAAAGGAGGGTTTCTCCTAGATGAGCTACCAGGCAGGAGGCAACCCAAAAGTGCAGACGGAACGTGAGCGCTGGGTGGGTAGTTCAGAGGCTGTGTGGGGCCCTATTCCCTGCCTGAGCCTGTCCCAGTCCTGTCCTTCCTCCCTTCCTCCACACGCCAGTTCCCACTTAGGCAATCCAAAAGGTCAAACCTGCATTCCCTTCTTTGTAAGCTTTTTGACACCTACATGGCTCTGCCCCCGCCACTCCAGGAGCTTTCATGATGACTGCGCAGTCCTTACCCCAAGATCCAGCTCTATCAGTGCAACCCTCTTCAGCACCTTTTCCCCACCAGCCAGCTCAGGCCCCTCACCCCAGCCAGCCCAGTCTCTCCCTCTTGAACCAGTTTTTTCCCAGGGACCACAACACGTCACTCAACTAGGGAACCCAATCTCCTCCATTTTCTCCTAAGGCTCATTCACATGCCACCCCCAACATGTAAGGCATCACTTTGTAGTATACTTGATTCACATCCCAGCCAGAGACCCACCTTCTCACAACACTTCACAAGTATCGCTATGCAGTCGCAGCTCTGCAGGGAGATGGGGAAATAGCAGAGCCAGGCAGGAAAAGCAGCAGCTCTGCAGTAAAGCAGATGTCCTGCCTGACCTCTCCCAGTTCTCAGCCCTGTGCCCTGATGCAGATAAGGTTATTATTGCTGTAGCATCTACAGCCCCTGGCCATGACCAAACAGCAAACGAAACGAGGTGCCACAGAATCACACAGCCGCATCCTGGCTACTTCACCACACAGAGCCTCTGTGCTGCTGCTGCTGCCCCTTGCCTTTCATCAGGCCATAGCTAGTCAGCAGGCCCTTCCCCTGCTCCAAGGTCCTCCATGGTCTCCTGCATGTCAGAGGCCAGGGCCCTCTTACAGCTGTTCCCACAGCTGTGGGGCATCAGGTATCAGAGACAATGCAGGAGAACACACACAGCTGTGAAGCAGGGGAGATAAACTTGTCCTAAAATCCTGGTCTGAGCAAGTATGGGGTTGTCACTTCGGGTCAGGTCTGTATTTTTGTTCTCCTGGAGGTTCACAGAAAGTTATTCTGCAGAGCAGTGTTTTGACTAGGTCTGTGGTGAACAACATGTGCTCGAGGAGCTGAAGCAGAAGTATCCCTCGGGAGAGCTGCAGGGCTGGCAGAGCCCAAGTTCTTCTTCTCCATGGCCTGCCTTCTTTGAGGGCCCACCACCTCCGCCTGCAGCAGCAGCTGCTGCCGCCACCTCCCCTTTCAGCCCCCACAGCCTAACTGAGCACTCACCCATCAGCAGAGCCAGGAAAGGCAAGACAAGCTTTTCCCCTGGAGGGGGTGAGGACCTGACACAGGCTAGGGAGCATCAGCAACAACCCTGGTCTTTATGGCCTGGTGGGCATTTCCCACCCCCTTATAGCTTGGGGGGGAGGTGGGGGTAGAGGGAGAGCTGGAGGCACAGGACTTAATCCTTTTCTTCAGCGATAACCCCACAGCCTCAATGTCACTGCCAGCTCCTGCTGCCCAGAGCAACAGGACCTCAAAAGCAATCCTAAGGCAAAACCCACAGCTGAAACAGCACAGATGAGCTCCCGAGGCAGGGTGGAGAGGAGCCAGAAAAGTCAGAAACAGAAGTCAGCCAAGCTGGGGGCTTAGGTTCATCACTGGATAAAACCCAGCACCTCTCAACACAGACGACTTGCTGCAAAGGGAACATTTTTCCCTACACACCCCCAGCAAAGCCAGCTGAACACGACAGACAAGTGCTCCCTAAACTGCCTCAGCACCAAGAGGTAACCAAGGGAGCTTTTCACCACTGATAAAGGAGGTTTTACCTAACCTGGCTGCTTTTGCATTGTAACAGATAAGCAAACACTTGCAGATCACGTTCCCTCACCTAAACTGATGGGCTGGTGGCATCCAGTAGTGCAAGTTCCCCCAGCCAGCCCCAAAAACGCTCCCACCAGCAGGAATCCAGGAGACCTCAGCCCCTGCCGCCCGGGACTGCCAGCGCCTTGCAGGAGCAGGGGTGTCCATGCACCCCAGCCCAGCTGGATTAGGCGGCTCACTTCCCAGCCCCAGCTGCAGGCTCAGGCCACCCCAGCAGTAAAGGCTCTCATTTTAGAGGAGGAAGTTTGAACCACCGTAACCGCACAACAGAAGCACAGAAGTGGTAGTCTCCAGGAGCTGTCTAGGCTAGAAATATCACCACACTAGAAATCCCGGGTGGGTTCTGGTGGGTGAGCAGCACAGGCAGCAGCAGAAGCCTGCTCTGTCTGCCAACACCTACATCTCCACCAAAGCCCAAAAATGAGGCAATGCTCGCCTGGAGAGAGAAAAGCCACGGACCCGCCTTAACCTAGGCCAAAGCACTGCAGCTAAGCCTGGTTTCAGCCATCTCTCGGGCAGGGGCACTGACCGCTCGAGTGCAAGCGGTGCCTGACAGCCGCCTCCAGCCCCTTCCACCCGTGAGCGCGCACCCGCGGCAGCCTCCGC